AATAAATCAAGTTTCACTTTAGTTTTTCAAGTAACTCAACTCTAACTCACTCACTCACTCAGCATCATCAAGGTTATCTTTTAGGAATATGAGCATGTCCACATTTCCAGGTAGAAGCTGGGATGTTTGGGCGTTTACAATATCCCCTGCTGTGGAAAAAACTCTCTTGCTTGGTACTGATGTTGCTGGGACAGAGAGATATGCTTTGGCCATGGGTGACAGCAGTGGGTCAAACTGTGTATTGTCCCTCCACCACTTCAAAAACAATACAGTTTTTGCCAAGAAGGTGAGGCTAATTGACAAGGCGAGATATAAATATACTGTTGGTACTTGTCAATGTCTCTAGGTATGTACATGTAGCCCTGTAAATATGATGTCCTTTTGTGTTATCTGTTGTTTTATGTTCATGTTGTAATGTTGGACATGTCTCCCTTGAAAAAGAGATTTATGATCTCAATGGGAACATCTGGTTAAATAACACTTTAAAAAAAAATATATCTAAAAAAAAACATTATTAAAAAAAAATCGCGGTAGATTTTGTCAGTCTCACGATGGTATTGAGACATTTATTTACCGCGATATTCGATATATCGTTACATCCCTAGATATTAACAATACTGTTTTCATGTGTTTCCATAGATTTCCATCCCCATGTCGGCAGAGTTTGATGAGCTGATGAAGGCCAGAGATAATCCCACCGAGGAGGAGCAAAGTAAGTCTCAATTAGGGCTGCACGATATTTGAAAAATCTGACATTGCGATTTCTTCCCCCTGCGATATGAAAAAAAAACCATCCTTTCTTGAACTTTAATGCTATATAATTGGTATTTTCCAACTATATTTAACCGGCTGAAGGATTTTAGTCACGGACGTCTGGATATTAAGTTATCAGAGCAACAAGCTGAGCTAGCTCGGTGAGCAGCGCCGAACTGGCCTAGAGAAACACATGAAACTACTTTATTCAGTGTTTTTACCTTTAATCACCGGGTCCGGTTGCTTTGGAGATTTGATTTTGATTGGTGGTTTGCTGTCACTCACTCAAGTACCCCTGACATAAGAGCCGCGCAAGTTTTTTCTTTTGTAGCAAGCAGCAGTGGTGTAGTGGGGATTTTTTTACTGGGGGGGGAAGCTATTTTAATTAGGTCATCCCAAACAATGCCACACAAGTGCGCACGCACGCAGTGCACTCACAAAACGGGCAGACAGGTCCACAGAAACTACCGGTATGCTTAGTCCTACTTTAGTTACTGTACTGCAAAAAGCAGACGGCGCTGCGCTCAACACACACACAGACTCAAAACCATGGACACACAACTTACATAAACAATGTATAGGCCTAAATTGCATAAGCTACAGTATTGCAACCAATCAGACAGCGCTGCTTCTCTCTATCTCCACTTTCAAAATCTATTTAAAACTCATAACAAACAAACTAAATTCCCAAAGCTGTCCTGAAATCAACTTATTAAATAAACAGAAATAAAGATATAGCCTACTTATGCAAGCAACATTGAATCTGGACTTGAAATCATTCTGATTAGGCCTAGCCTATATCACACACGCACGTACGCACACACACACCTTGCATTTTGAAGACTGAAAAATCCGAAATGAATGAATGAACTTTGCAGCCCTAGTCTCAATCCAGATCTAATATTTTTCTGCATTTTTATTTTAGGCTCCACCTCACAACAGGATTTAATCAAGGCTATCTTTTGCACAACTAAAACGGTACATGTCAAATTGGGATGGACTTGAAATCCAAAGCTTGTCATAGCTGCAGTAGAAACACATTATAGAATGGCATTTCATTAAAGGAAACAGTCGTTAAAGATCCAAAATAATATGAATAAAAACCTGCTCCAAGAGAATTAAACGGGTATTAAATAGAGCACCGTTTTCTGTAACACTCGGTTCCGATTGTATTCACCTTCCTCAGACCTGGTGGAGTTCTCTGATGAGGAAGGATACGGCCGTTACCTGGACCTCCACGACTGCTACCTGAAGTTCATCAACCTAAAGGGAGCCGAGGTGAGGATCTTCTTAACGTCCATATTACTCAGACTTACTCCAAACATAAGTCACATTTATTTTTAACCACAACCTTTACTCTTCCTCCACAGAAACTGGAGTACATCTCCTTCCTGTCTTCATTCGACCAGCTGTTTGACATCCCCAAAGACAGGAAGAATGCAGAGTACAAAAAGTAGGTCCACCTGATTTATTACCATCAGAACTCGGGTTGCACTAACTGAGCAAGTACCGCCATTTATTTCCCCAAAGTTAAGGCCGTCCATCATTTGACAGATTTCAACACTCAGAGCAATTTACAGCTTTTATGGTATTTTTTGGGCAATTTATGCCGTTTTAATTGTAGATAAATGTACAGAGTTGTTAGGGGGAGAAAGACGGGATGACATGTAGACATCGTCCAGAGGATAAGTTAATAAAAACCCATCATTCAGAGCAGGGATGCTCAGATCGATATCGGCCAATCGATCGGTGCTCTCTAAAAATGCCGATCACATGACGTAAAATGATGACGTAAAATACATGACCCTTTTCTCTGTGTGCGGCAAAACAAGCTCGCCAAAATGGCTTCACCAGTCTGGCAGGATTTTATGGTGTCCGATAAAGACAATAAAATAACGGTATGCAACGTGTGAAGCAGAAATCCTGCAGCTCCGCCCGCTGTGACGGACCGGTGAGCGGAGCAGAACACACACTAAGAGTTAGACCTAACACACTTAGCTATTTTATAATAATAATAATAATAATGATAATGGGTTTCATTTATAAAGCACTTCATATTTGACTTCAAATCCCGAAGTGCTACAAGCAGTGAGCATGAACAGTATAAAAACATTACACGATAAAATTAATAAAAAGCGATAAAAAACAAATAATACAAATAAAATAAAAGGGGGGTAATAAATAAATAAGAGGTCTAGGGAAAGGCTCTATTGAACAGATGGGTTTTGAGGCCTTTTTTAAAGGCCTCCACGGTCTGTGTTGCTCTCATGTTGTCGGGGAGAGCGTTCCACAGACTGGGGGCAGCCGAGCAGAAGGCCCGGTCTCCCATAGTACGGAGCTTGGCCCTGGGGGGTTTGAGGAGGTTGGAGTTGCTGAAGCGGGTGGTCCGCAAGGAGGTATGGGGGAGTTCCTTGAGGTAGGGAGGGGCAGTTCCATGGATACACTGGTGGGTGAGGACGGAGACCTTGAATTCGATCCTCTGGAACAAGCTAAACTAGTTATACATATATTTATTCTTCACTGAGACGGATACGGACAGGCTGTCAGGAGAGAGGGAAAGAAAGCGCTTCCGCTCATTTCTCCCGTGTTATTCTCCAAAGTTAATGTAAACTTGAATAATGTACTTCATTTGAATGTAATAATTATGTTGGTTGTTGTCTGTGGAAGCCCCAGTGAATGAGCCCATTAACTGAGTTTTAAACATCACTTTAAATGGAAGATCCCCATAGGCCCCGCCCACTCGATCGGATCGGTATCGGCCGATACTGATTCCGGCGATCGGCCCCAAAATTGGCGATCGGAGCATCCCTAATTCAGAGAATCTTTCCCACTTCTGATCATTTCCCTAAGAATAAAGTCTCCCAATTAAAAATATGTGGCTAAAGAAGTTATGTTGATTCAGTCTCAAGAGCACCGCCCGTTCAGCCCGTTACCTTTATTCTATATGCTGTTAAAAATGCGAAAATCAAAAGCTCATTCTGTATATTTATTATATAAAAATACATTTAAATGGATGAATGAGACTGTAAAGCTGATAAATATGCCATACAAGGAACTCATACTGAACTTCTTTCCTTCTATGAATCATTTGCAGGTACCTGGAGATGCTGCTGGAGTATCTGCAGGATTACACAGAACGGGTCAAACCTCTGCTGGATCAGAACGAGCTCTACGGGAAGGTGCTGGGGGAGTTCGAGAAGAAGTGGGAGAACGGGACGTTTCCAGGCTGGCCCGTGAGTTCTCATTTCATTACAGAGAGATACCTGAAGATATTTAGAGTGACCTCTTGAGTCGATGCCAAATGAAGTACTCACAAATCAGCCGCAGAACATATTCCCCAACTGATACACACATGCTCCTGTAAAAACTTCCAATATAATACATTTATTAGGGATAAACTCTCTCTCTCTCTCTCTCTCTCTCTCTCTCTCTCTCGACAGCCTGTAAGTATCTCATGCAGCTCACTGATCCAGTAATGAGTGACCCGACAGTGAAGAATAAATATATGTATAACTAGTTCATCTTGTTCCAGAGGTAGATAAAATAGCTACGTGTGTTTGCTCCGCTCACCGGTCCGTCACAGCGGGTGGAGCCGCAGGATTTCTGCTTCACCGAACGATCGGAGCATCCCTAACATTTATGAAGCCGTTTTTAAGAAACCACGGTGTACATGTCCTGTTTTAAAGATTAAGGGTTGAGTACAGGCCTTCATATGAGAACATTTGACCCAGGAGGATGATCTAAATTGAAAATCTGTGAAGTGTGTTTCTTGCCTCATTGGACCATAATAGCAAATGAAAGTACAATATAAATAAATAACGATTGTTCTGCTATGAGATATGGTGACTCATCTAATCTGACCTGTTTGTCTGTTTTTATTTCCAGAAAGAGACAAGTAGTGCTCTGACTCACTCCGGAGCTCATCTGGACCTCTCTGCCTTTTCTTCCTGGGAGGTAAAAATATAAAACACTCATATTTTAAAGAGTTACTGTTTACAGAGGCTAGCTTATTTATGTATATGATGTTCATGGTGAATTCTCATACACTATTACAGTGAATGTACATATGTGCATAGTATGTTAAACACTCTTGTTTACACAGTATGATAACAGTCAATTTGTATTTGACATACAACCCTAGCTTCCACTGATGTGCTTTTTCTGGTTGTTTTCTTCCACAGGAGTTGGCCTCTTTGGGTCTGGACAGATTGAAGTCTGCGCTCATGGCGTTGGGGCTGAAGTGTGGAGGGTGAGAAAGACATTTGCATGCTGAAAAAAAAATTACGTTTAACTTATCTAGCTCTTCTGGCTGTGGTACACCTGGAAAACAAACTGCAAATTGGTTTTCTATACAAACTGGTGTGTGTGTGTGTGTGTGTGTGTGTGTGTGTGTGTGTGTGTGTGTGTGTGTGTGTGTGTGTGTGTGTGTTAGGACTCTGGAGGAGCGAGCTCAGAGGCTGTTCAGCACCAAAGGTAAATCTCTGGAATCACTGGACCCGTCACTGTTCGCCAAAAACCCCAAAGCTAAAGGCCCTAAGAAGTAAGTTGGTGTAAAGCTATACATCTCATACAGACAGTTTCCTATCATACTGTTTATTATATCATTAATGATCATTTCCATCCTCCACTCCTGCAGAGACACAGAGAGGAACAAAGAGATCGGCTTCCTGGAGGCTCAGGTCTATGATTACATCGAGATCCTCGGGGTGAGTAAAATATACATTTGTATTTATTTAAGTTATTAGTATGTAGTGCAGAGTTCCCGTCAAAATGTCCGTTAAAGTTTCAATCTTCCGGACAAAATGAGAAGTGCCGGTCAAAGGTCTTCTTTGTTATTTATTGAGCTGTAAAACAAATTGATATGATTCGATATTAAACAAACTAATTATAGCAGATTAACTACATTTTTCAAAAGTGTACAGTAACTTATAATAAACGGAGCGCTCTCTCCCTCTCCTGACAGCCCGTCAGTATCATGCAGCTCGCGGATCAGTAATGAGTGACCCGACAGTAAAACTAAACATATCTATAACTAGTTACGGTAGTTTGAGAGGTAATTAAAATGGCTACGTGTGATATTCTAACCTGAAGTGTGTTTTGTTCCACTCACCGCTGCATGTGATCATGCAGAGCTGCGTGTCGACTCGTCAGCAGCAGCTGATCTCTCTCTCCCGTCAGATTAGACTTCACTCGCGTTTATGTCCANCTAATTCCAACAACATAGTTTGATTAGCCTCACGATTTAGCCTATATCTCTTGATCAATTCAAAGTCTTCCATTGTCTCCAAAACATTTAGTCTCGCAGCCATTTTCAGATTCTTTGTGAATAGGTCTTACTGAGTTAGGAGTCCTCTCAGGACTTTAAGTCTCTCCTAACTTAGGTGCTACTTTAGGTCCTAAAATACTTTGTGAATTGCTCTTAGTGAATACAATTAGGAGTCCTAAATGTAAGACTGACACGCCCATTATGTTTAGGAGTTTCTCCTAAATTCGCCAGTAGGAGCTACTTTTAGCCCTAAAATCCTTTGTGAATACGGCCCCAGGTGTATATCAGTATGTAGTGTCTCTCCTTTAAAAAGAGTCCTCTCCTGCTGATGTTCAGCTGTATATCAGTATGTAATGTCTCTACTTCATGTCTCCATGCTTTAATGTTCAAAAAGCTCTTTATTTGTATCATACTGCCTGTGCTGCAGCACCTCTTTTCACCCTCTGTCTGAAACCAGAGCCCAGTCTGCTCTGATTGGTTAGCTGGCCGGCTCAGAGGAACATTAACAAACAGAGATGAAGACAAAGCTCACTGTGACAAAAGTTTATTATAGTGATCGATGGTCCCCACATTAGAAAGTTGTCAAAGGGGGCGGAGACTGTAAAACAACATTTCTACTTACAAATAAAAAGAAACATGGCTGATAAAAAATATAGCAAATCTTAGGACGATCGTTGGATGTTTTTTTCTTTATTGTGCGTCTACAGCAAACCCTGCCTCTTCAGATCCTCGTACGTCTTCTTGTTCACCACGTTACCGCTGGAGTCCTCGTACTCCTCCTGAAACACAGGCAGGGACGCCAGGGTTACAAATACAACTAGGGCTTCAATTAACGATACAATCTGGATCTTATTTTTCTATAAATGTGCTGGTATTTATAAGTCGATCCTTACTTTGATATCTACATTTATTTTTGTATGTGATAGAGAATATATGGTTGTGTCTGGTAGATGAATGTGTTACTTAGTGTGGAAATGAGCTAAGAGCTACATCTGGCGATCCCGTTTGATTTGTGCCACGAATTATACATATGCTGTTTGTCAATTTAAAAGATAATTTTGCAAGTCAAAAAAATAAAACTGTGAAGGAACAGTTTTTTTTGTGTGAAACCGCTCAATGAACTACATCTTCCGTCTCGCACCACACACCAAGACGGCCGTCACGTTGGCACATTTCACTTCTTTCTTTCAGAATGAGGCGAAAAGTATTTAAAGACGTGAAAATCACTACAAGTCTGGGCGTGTTGAGAGCTGTACATACACACAAGGGGAGTTAGTCGGTTCTGTAAGAGCCAGCATGCGGGACCGGGATACTGAGATTTGTAGTCTTTGTAGTTGCATATTTTTCATAGTCTTATATTTCAACAGTTTTATGACAAACTGACTTTTTTGACATGGAAATTATTTATGTGTAATTCCTGGCACAATTCAAACGGGATCGAAAGATATTCTTTCTCTCTCCATTGACTTCAATACATAATTTTTCCGAAATAAGGTCCCATGGGGCGGAAGTAGATGGGCGGGACTTCGCCTCTATGCTGTTGGGTCCTCCCAGACCCGAACACCAAATTATACACTTTTTTTTTTAGAGACCTTCAGACTTGGCTAAAATGGTCAAAATCTGTTTTGTAGTGTTTACATATCTGTTGTGGAGGATATCATGAAGCCTTATTCCGATTTAAAAAAACTAGAGCGTAGTTATTATATAATTTTAACTTGAAACGGGTCACGGGAGACCCGAACACAACATAAGGGTTAAAAGGACGTAAAACTAAGAAACAAAGCAGGAAATATCCATATTAAGGAAGCTAAAGACAGCATTTTCTCAAATGTTGACGATACATAAAAAATGTTTTGAAAACACCATTATAACTATTGTGAGGATATTGTGAGATTGACCACTGATGCTTTCACACTATCAGGTTAATAATCCTCAGTAATGTCTGGTTCTTTACTGTAACGCTGCCTTTAAAACCAGGAACAACAACAGAAGATCTCTACTCTCTTATTACGATACAGATGTAATATTGATTTATTTCCAAGTGCTAAATAAGTAACCAGAATATTTGCCGATCATTTTCCTCACCTCTGTGTCCGGCTGCCACCTCTCCAACGCCTTCTGGGACTTCAGCTTTGCCCACACTGAGAAACAAACAATTCATCAAAAAATTACTTTTCAAATCCTTTAAAAAAAATCCAACTAACTAACGGGACTAAATCTCTTACGGGACACGGCGTCCTCGATCTGTGTGACGTTGGCGAAGTGAGCCGTATTGGGGATCCCCAGGCAGCGCATCCCGTGAGCATGCCTCCATTCCTACAAAACAAAAAGTATTTAGTTATTTGACTTTTTCTAACAATGACAGTGTAGATTTTCATGCTCTCTGTAAAATCCACGTACAGCAAAGTGCCTCTGGAAGGCTTTGGGCCCTCTGTAGGTGTAGTTCCCGCAGATCTCACAGTTGTAGTTGATGTTCAGACCGTGGAGTTTATACAGCCAGTACGGGATCGGCTGCATGGAGAAAGACGCATGAGACACAAGTTAAAGAAACAAGCAGCACGTCGAAGTAGAGCATTTCAAATACACAAATGGCATCTTGTGTTTTCATGTGCAATGTTTGTATGAAATGTATTTATTGTTAAAATGCAACGTTGAGTATTTAGTGAAGCACTTTTTCAAACCAATTTTTTTTTATTAAATGGGTTTTCCTCAGGTATCTCTATTGGAAGACATTGCAGCTTATTTGCAATGTGCCCGATTGAGTAACAATTCAGTATTTTCTATGCATTTTATTGACAACCATCTTGCTTCTGGTCTTATGAAGTTAATCTTCACCCAATAACATGCCGTCTTTCCTTTCATCTTTATTATAGTCAACCACCACCGGGAATTGTGAAAAACTAAATAAACATTGATTAGGACGAGACGATTAGTCGTTGTTGCATGGTGTGTGTGCGTGTGTATTAGGTGCAGGTGTGTGTGTGTGTGTGTGTGTGTGTGTGTGTATTAGGTGTGTGTATTAGGTGTGTGTGCGTGTGTATTAGGTGTGTGTATTAGGTGTGTGTGTGTGTATTAGGTGTGTGTATTAGGTGTGTGTGTGTGTATTAGGTGTGTGTGTGTGTGTATTAGGTGTGTGTATTAGATGTGTGTGTGTGTATTAGGTGTGTGTGTGTGTGTATTAGGTGTGTGTGTGTGTGTGTGTGTATTAGGTGTGTGTATTAGGTGTCTGTATTAGGTGTGTGTGTGTGTGTATTAGGTTTTTGTGTGTGTGTGTGTGTGTATTAGGTGTGTGTGTATTAGGTGTGTGTGTGTGTGTGTGTGTATTAGGTGTGTGTGTGTATTAGGTGTGTGTGTGTGTGTGTGTGTGTATTATGTGTGTGTGTGTATTAGGTGTGTGTGTGTGTGTGTGTGTGTTGTTGTGTGTGTGTGTGTGTGTGTGTGTGTGTGTGTGTTTTGTGTGTGTGTGTGTGTGGTGTGTGTGTGTGTGTGTGTGTGTGTGTGTGTGTGTGTGTGTGTGTGTGTATGTGTATGTGTGTGTGTATGTGTGTATGTGTGTGTGTGTGTGTGTGTGTGTGTGTGTGTGCCCTCACCTTGCCGTCCCAGCCCAGCGGCAGGTTCTTGGGGTTGTAGATGATCTCGTTGTCTTCGTCCTCGCTCTCGCTGTCGCTGAGCTGCTCCTCCTCTTCCTCCTCGCGCTCCTCTCCGGTGCGAGCCTGCTTCCTCTGGACGTTCTCGTGAGTCAGCTGCCTCTGCTCCTGTGACCGGAAACAATCATACAAACGGTCAGGGTTTATTCTAGAAGAAACACACAAGACACCTCTGATGAAATGTTGGATCTGGCCCCTTTATTCAGCTGTATTAACCCTTTAATCCACATTAACCAATCAGAGCAGCCTGGGCTCTGGTTTTTAGACAGAGGGTGAAAAGAGGGGCTGCAGCACAGGCAGTATGAGAAAAATAAAGAGGTTTTTGAACATTAAAGCATGGAGACATGTCCCAGTAGAGACACTACATCAGAGTTCCCGTTAGCCGTAAATTACCGGACTATGACCGGTAAAGCATGCTGAAGACCGGCAAATCTAAATCTCTCCGGTCAAAATAATCCTTAGCGCAATACCGCATCAGTTGCACCACTTNCTGGAGAGAGGGTCCCCTTCTGCTCAGGGGCCGTATTCACAAAGCATTTTATCTTACCGCTAGGAGTGCTCCTAACTCGCGCTAAAACATTTTAAGTAGGAGTTTTTTCTTAAAAGTTATTCACAAAGCCGCTGAGACCTACTCATACTAAGGATAAATCACTAAGAGTGAACTAAGAGTGACGCGCCGTTACTATGGATTACGTCGATTCTCGTGCTTGAGTTTAGAAGCGGTCAGTACGGTGATTGGTTGTTCAGAGCAGGCGGTCTCGGTGAAACTCATCCGCAACATCCCACAAACGAGCCCACTAAATCACCGAAACCTACTTAAAATGTTTTAGCGCGAGTTAGGAGCACTCCTAGCGGTAAGATAAAATGCTTTGTGAATACGGCCCCTGAGCAGAAGGGGACCCTCTCTCCAGCTCTCTTTTCTCGTTGGACCTTATTTCTTTTTTGTTTTAGGTGGCTTATGTTTTAATCTTTGCAATTTTGAACGGGTTTATCTCCCATTCTTCATCATGGCTCATGAGTCAGGGATCAGTTTGTCATACGCGTTAACTTGCTAGTTTTAGTAACACAATACTAGCAAGTACAGCTTTTTGATTACCGATTTATCATTAATTGACTTTACCAAAATTAGTAAGATAATTTAAAGGGGACCTATCATGCAGAATGCACTTTTTGATGTCTTTTATACATAAATATGTGTCCCCGGTGTGTCGGGGAACTCACTTAGCGTCAGAAAATAAAACCCTCTCTCTTTTCCCCCGTACCCAAATCTCTAAAAACGGGGGTACAACGGAGCTGATACAGATTTGCGTCCGATATGACGTAATATCGGAAATGTAGTCTGGCTTTACACCCACGGCCCTATCAGAAACGTTGCTATCAGAAACAATGCCCGACTCTTTTGGACGTAATATGGTCGGTGCATGTTTACATTAGCATCACTAACACTCAGAGCTAACCTGTGCTGGAGAGCATGTGTGTGAAGAAGCAGGAAATAAAAAGGAACTCAACTTGTGGTATAACCGGCAAGAGAGAAAGCCTTTGAGCTCCATACTGTTTCAGAAATAATCCTTGATAATCCATGATATGGAGTTTCATCACCGCAGTATTTAGTTTAGACAGTAGCTGCCGGGTCCCACATGAGCTCATACCCTACTTTTTAAATTGTTATCAATTTTTTTTTTTTTTAGTAGCTCTATACCCAAAATCAGCACTTTTGAAACAGGAAGTGAAATAGAGGGATATGAGGCATGGCTAAAATGGGTGATCTGTTTGGTATTTTGAGCAAAACACTTCATAGACATGTTTTTTTGTATATTTTTATTAATGCTGTCAAAATTATCGCGTTAACGGCGGTAATTAATTTTTTTAATTAATTGCGTTACAATATTTAACGCATTTAACGCATGTGCAGAATGGCCCGCCCCATACATCCCACCAGTGGCAGCGCCATGGTATGGCTGGGGTAGGCTGCACACCCATACCAATAAATGGCTTAGCCCGACCATGAAAAATGATGTTAAAGTAAGCTAAATTAAGTCCGCCAACTCGCGCCGAGAATTGCACAGACAGCAGTTAGTAAGATTGATTTCAGTAGCCACTTCGAAATACCGGAGACAAGAAACTGTTTTGAAAACTTTTGTCACGTAGTGATCGTCTTCTCAATAGAACATCTTTGATAATGTCTTCTGGCCAATCAGAATCAAGATAACGGCGTGGTGTTGTTGCAGAAGTCCCGACGGAGAATACTTTTGCTGTAGTACAGGGGTGCACATAACTGGTACGCAGGTTATGTGCGTAATCTGAAATGCGTACCGTCACTTGTGTCACAAAGCGCATTTGCGTACCCATGGTACTTGTGAAGCTTTTCCAGAAGGCGGTTAGATCACCGGACGACAGAGTCGGTCTCCGTGTGCACAGACAGGGCTGCTGTTAACGTCGGTCTGTACAACGGAATTGTGCCAAAACTACGCCAACCGGCTGCGGAGGGAGACTCCCTCCCGGCCCCTTCACTGGAGAACTTTGCTAAAACAGCTGATCACAACGCCCCCCCCGTGTTGATAGAAATCAACAAGACCCCCCGGTTCGTTGATTGATAGGTGTGTGGGCTGTCTTTCATTTTGACACACAGAACAATGTTATAATAAACATACATACATACTGTATGTTAAATGGATATATCCGCCTTCTTTCATTTATCTTTCTATTCCCACAACAATATACATAAATAAATGGCATATTTTGGACATAGTTCGAATGGTGATTAATCTGATTAAAAATGTTAATCGTTTGACAGCCCTACAATACACATAAAGAAATGGCATATTTTGGACATAGTTCGAATGGTGATTAATCATGATTAATTAATTTTTAAACTGTGATTAATCTGATTAAAATGTTTAATCGTTTGACCGCCTTAATCTTTATATGTCTGAGACCTATGCTTTTGCCTAAAAATAGCATGATAGGTGACCTTTAAGTTTACGTTTTTTCTTACTAGCTTTCCTGTGTATTCGTACAAAATAGTAAAAGAACAAAATCCAATAAAAGTAAGTGAGTCTTTTTTGTCCAAGAACCTTAAAGGCTGTTCTCTTCGCCCTCCTTTAGTCACTGTTAGCATATTTTCAACATTTTAAATATCATTATTAAAATATAAAAGCAGTCTTCAGTTTATGTGACAGCCTGCAGAGGGTGCTGCTTTACCTTGATGTCGTGGTGGAAATCTTAGAGACTGATCATTCGGTCAACACACAAACATATCAGCTTTTATATTTGATTTAAACTTTCTAATTTGTATTTTGACAGTATTAAAATAACTTATCCTCCCTAAGATGTTACATCAAGAATCATAAAACACGTCTGATTTATGAAAAACATGATATTGTGATTTAAAAATATATATTCCTGAATTGTAATGTTTGTAATTGTGTAAGCATGTAAACTCTATGTGTTTTCAAGTTGGTGAAGATGTCTCTTAATTTGCACCTACATAACATCTTAAATGTGTAAAAAAAAAATGCGAGAAATGAGAGTTCTAAACAGTTTTAAAATTCCACATTGCATATTAGCATCGATTAGCTGCTCTAAGGCTTTCATTTCTATTTTATTTTCTTTCGTTTTTTTACATTCAAAGCTCCTTTTTTCGATTTTCTAATGAAGACTTAGCTCCTAAAATTATACTTACTTATACCTCATATTTCTTGACAAAGATTTTGGAAAAAATACAGGTTTTGTTGGTTGTATAAAGGCCATGTGTTGTCCTTTTCGGTTGCTGTTATTATGCCTCACTAACACAGGTGCACGCCTCCCTTTGTGAGCAACAGTGGGAAAGCAAAAAGCCACTCAGTTAGTGGCTGCGCTGACAGCAGCCTGGTTCTGACATGTCACTTTGTGGGCTCTATGCCAACAGGAGCATTACAGCGTGGCACCAGAGAGTCCTGAGGGATCAGCTGCTCCACTGACTCCTCTTTCACACGATGTGCTCCACTTACTCAGGCTCCACTGCTGAATCAAACAGCAGCACGCCAACAACCATTGTCGTACACCTAAAGTCAGGTCTGCCCACTGAGAGCTGCTGCAGAGGCTTGGGAATATAATGAGATATAGTCTGACTAGGAGTGCTCTAAATGACTAAATGTCAGCGGGATGTACCATCGAGCGCATTCCGGGGGTTTACACTTTTGAACCTTTCCTTCTGTTTTCGTTAGGTTCATTTAATTACTTTTCCATACAATATAGAACTTAGTCCTTTTTTATTGCTGTACCGCATAGTTTGCAGCAGCATTCATAGCATTTCACAAAATAACAACTTTTACTGCGGTCAAATTACTTTTGCTAGTTAGTTTGCGCTCTGCACACAAACGCGCGCAATAAGAGCAATCCATCAAAAGCATAAATACAATTTATAAAACCAACAAAAATGTACTTGAACCCCATACTCTTTAGGGTGATTAAGTCATGAAATGTAATGAAAAACATTCAAATAGCCTCAATAGAAGCTTTGAATGAAACAAATAAACATGAATTCTGTAGGCTACAAGCCACTCTTTCCATTTAGGCTATTGCATGATTGGGAACATAATTGGAATCAACAGCTGGAACCAGCGGTGGGTGAAAGGTGCAAACGCATTACAATGGCCAAAACATCTCCATAAGGATAACCGCACTGCAGTTTCAACAGAGACAGATGTCCATCTTTATAATCCTGAACGTCACCGAGCGCTCCGGTCCCAGCTGTGTGCGAAACCTTTTAGTGTCCCCTGGTTTCCGTTGTGTTTCGAGCTTCTTGCCGCCTTTTGTATTTGCAGCGTTTGGTTTCCGCAGCACTTTTAGTAAGCGTTGCTCGGGTTTCCTCAAATTGATAAATGTTTTTTAAATGCTGCATGTGTTGTCAATTTGCGGAAGATGTTTCTTCATCTGCATGTGTTTTGGTACATTTGTGTTTATATATTTGCATCGTGTCTGAAGGTGCAGCACGTTTCTCCTAATGGAAGAGTTTTGATACGTTGTAGCTCATTTTCACAGGTCGGCCACCGTAGAAGCAACCCAAAAACACAGGTTGTATTGTAAAAATATAGCTTTAACAGCCTAACTTACAGAACCAAGCATTGACAAAGCAGTCTAGATATACATTTAGGTGCCTTGTGTTTTTTTGTTTGTTGGATTATAATGAGATAAACTAATTAAAGCTTAAAAAAGACTGCACGCTGAGCCTTGCTCTAATTTAATTTCCTCTGTCCGCGCTGGGCCTTTTGCAATAACTTCATTTATTAGACAGGATATTGTCCCAGAAATAATTGCAATTGAACAATATCATTTTATTTTAGGATGATGATTGTCCATGTTCTCTGTAACGTCTTCTACACTTTTTAAATATCATAACTCATTCTAATGTGTCTCTGACATGTCTGGCCAGGGATTACAGATGAAGTAACCTTAAACACATGTACAGCAATGTTTTCTAATGTCCCTAAAAAAAATCTTAATTAATAAAGAAAGTTAAAAGACAAAGGATAATGCAGCCACGTTTTAAATTGGTTGGGAAAAATAATAATTATGGAAATGTTTGTTGCACTCAATTAAGGTTTTATCACCAAAAAATAGCTAAAAACCATAATTAATAGCAATTAATACCAAACACAGAGGACAAAATAAGCCCAGTTGTAATAAATTACATCTTCAAATGCTTCTGCTTCTCTTTGGCCAACTACTGCACAAAGTAAGTAACTCTCAAGTACTTGAGAGTCTGTGTTATTCTTTTTTTGCACCCTTAACAGCTTTTAATTTCACAGCGTGGTAAAATTAACCAATTAAAAAAAAATGTGACAAAGGACTCTAACCCAGGCACTTCAACAAAACCAATCATTTCGAGCAGCTTCAGCACAAGCTTCAGTCTTGTTTTTGGTTTTCTGCACACGCTAATTATTCAACCATCTGCAAACAAATATAACTTAAACCCTAGACTCTGAAAACCATTTTCCTGCAACCCACTTCAACTTCTTTGACTATTTGTAATCTTTCTCGGATGTTCTTGTTCAATGACTCACCGACAGTAACCAGACACACATTTTAATTTTCACTTCAGAGAAATACAGGAAAGAACAGTCTCTCATCATAAGAAAATAAGAAAAACGTCTCTACAGGGCAGAGTCACTGCATATAAGCCGCACACAGATACTGGATTATCAGGAAACAATGATTATTTGTCCTTCATAGCTTCAACATATCAGGTGACATTTATAAGCTGTACAAAAAAACGGAATAAAAACAGTAAAGGTAGAGTGAACATTTAGAGAAAATCTAATCAGAAGTGCTAGGAGATGGAGATAAAGGAGCTGATTTCATGTATTTTCTGGTCTGATCTACCAGCTAATAAAGTTCAACCATGTGTCCTTTTCCTTGTTGAAGTTCTCCGCCCATTGAAGAGTAAACACTAAGTGATAGTCCGTCTGATTGGGTTTGTAGTCCAGTTACAAACTTGGGAAGAGCCATTTCTATCTGCGTCCCTTTCTTCCATCGGTTCAACGACTTAATGGTGACGCTTGCGAAGACGTTTCCACGGTTGAACAGCCCTTCCCAAGTAACTCGGACCAACGCTGGGAATAAAGAGCAGATTGTTGGCTTCGTAGAAGTTCTTTCTTTCTAGTCATAGTTGAACGAACCAAAGGAAAGCCGTTGGAGGCAAAGTAGGTGAAGATGCCGTCAAAGTAGTGCTCAGAGTCGGAAATAAAACTGTTAGGGGGATGGATATAAAGGTTTGGAGATGTCTTTTCTTGTCGAGTCAGCCACATGTCCTTCTCCTTGTTAAACTTCTTGACCCACTGGCCTGTAAGCACATAGTCTGGCTAATTGGGTTGGCAGTCCAGGTACAACACCTCACATTTTTCTTGTGTACAGCCTTCTCTGTCTGCGTCCATTCCTGACATTGGTAAAAGGACTTAATGGTCAAGATTTCTGGCCTGAAAAGAAGTGTCCTAATATCGTCCGTTAACATGCGTTCTCGTTCCCTGGTTGTGCTACGGGTGAACAGCCAACGCTGGACCAAAAGAGCAGATTGTTGGCATTGCAGAAGTTCTTAATGGCTTTCCAGTTCTGTTAGTACAAGCCAAAGAGAAGCCATTAGATTCAAAGTAGGTGTAGATGCTGTCGAAGCAGAAAAACTGGTATTGAAATGGACATAAAGGAGTAGGAGCAGACTATTTATTTTGGTCTGATTCACTAGGGAAATTAAGTTCACATCAGCCATGTGTCCTTCTCCTTGTTGTAGTTCTCTGCCCATTGTCGAGTGAGCACTAAGTAGTGGTCCGGCTGATTGGGTTGGTAATCCAGGTACAAACGCGTCACTGTTTTCTTGGGTACAGCCTTTTCTATCTGCGTGCCTTCATGCCATTGGTTAAAGGACGTAATGGTGACGATTTCCGGCCTTACAGACAAAGCCGCCTGCAAGGACGTGTCGTAGTATCGCCCATTAACGCGGTTCCTCGTGTTGTGGTTGTTCCACGGGCGAACAGCCGTGTCCACGTACCCCGGACCAACGCTGGGAATAAAGAGCAGATTGTTGCCATCGCAGAAGTTCTTGATGGCTTTCCAGTTCTGGTGGGACGAGCCAAAGGAGAATCCGTTGGAGGCGAAGTAGGTGTAGATGCCGTCAAAGCCGCTAGCTAGGATGTCGTGTTTGTGGCGCTCCTCCACGATAAGGGCGAGGAAGACGCCGTCGTAAGGCGTGCCCCGGATACTGTGGGAACCTTTAGGGCTGAGGAGATCGGCCCAGGACTCGGCTGGCATCAGGTAGGAGTCGTAGACGTAAAACAGAGGCAGGACTCGCCCCGTGCTGGACCTGAATCTGTAGAAGGCGCCATGCTTTCCATACCTGAGGAAAACAAGAGAGGGGGGATTTCAAGCTTTTGCAATGTCCATGGAAAAACATTTTGAAAAGAATCGCTTTAATGTCTTTTTCAATTGCAGGCTAAAATTAAGTGAAATTAATATTTAGTGGCTTGCATTGTTCTTTTGTGTGCTAGTAAAGGGTGTTTTTTTCTACAACTGGGAGTAGCCAAAGTCATAAAGTTACCAATTCGTTCAAGTTCTTTAAATTGTAAAAAGTATTGATTTGTGAAGCTTTAAGGGCTGAGGCTCTCCGGCTTATCATATAGTCACTGCAGTAAAAAGACTACAGCCTCCGGACATGTTCTCTTTTTAAATGACAACAATGCGAGTCACTTGCATATACGATGTAGGATGACGGACATAAAGTTAAATTGCATCAGTAGGTCAGATGCCTGAGTGACCAATCTTCTAATTTGTAGTCTTGTTTGATTTATTTTATACTAGTATATTCAAATAAAAGTATGCTTGAATGCCACATGTAGCACATTTTATAACAAAAGGTTTTACAGGCTTTCAGACACTGAGAAAATATGTATGCTTTACTGAAAACCATCATGTCTTTTTCTGGCCCTCCACTTTTTCTTTCATTTTATACAGATGGCCAGCACAGTGGGTTTCTGAAAAATATTGGCAGGAATATAAAGAGCAAAAAAGGGACGCTCTCTAACCTTTGCTTTGAATTTGCTCCAGTATTTATATGAACATTGTAAATGTGCTGCTGCTGAGAGTCAATAGCCGCTTTCACACCAAGTACTTTGCCGTACTTAGTTCCCAGCACTTAGTACCCCCATGGAAATAAGAGCCGATCGCGTTCACACCGGAATCGCAAATGAAGCCGCTGACGTCACTTCTTCTTCTTCTTCTGCTTTGGGTTTACTGGCAGGCCGCAAACAACTTCACGGCGTATACTGCCACCTGAAGTCCCCGGCCAGAAGTCCCCGGAGTTGCGGACTGGCAGCAGCTTCTACTGAAGCCTTCCGAGTAAATCGCCAGAACGCCGACACCTCCTGATCTTTCCACCGCTCCCATGTTTTTTTTGTGTTGCCATAAGTTATTCTCTCTCCGTTGGTGCGCGGGGCTAATGTTAATAATGCTAATGCCAGCAAATACAATGGAGGCTTCGAAAAACTTATGAGCATCCTTATGTTCGAACATGGTGTTTGTTATGGCCAATCCATGACTAGCACAGAAGTCCAGTAACAAACCACCA